ACAAGCCCCCACCACGCACCTGTGACAGCACCATCTCTCTGCTGAACGAGCTGAACGTCTTCTTCGCTCGCTTTGAGGCACAAAACAGCACCACTGCACAGAAGTGCTGTGCTGTGATCCCTGGACAGCGTGAGGAGATCACTCAGCAGGATCAATGCATTGAAACACGACTGCACACCGTCATACAACTCTAACCTCTTCATTAAGTTTGCGGATGACATGACTGTAGTGGGTCTCATTAGCAACAGAGATGAGACAAACTACAGGAGCGAGGTGAGCCGCCTGGCCGGGTGGTGCAGTGACAACAATCTCTGTTATCTGTATGCACTAAGGGTCTGAGAGTCAATTCTCTGTGTGTATGTGCTGTACATGTGGAAGAATTGACAATAAAGCAGACTTGACTTGACTTGACTTGAACATTTGGGCGGCATTATGCAAATCGTGACGTAGACATGTGGGGGCGTGTTAGAACGAGCCATTTTAGGTAGGTGTGGTTGACTCTTAACTTTTATAAAGAATATCTCTTTGGATTTGAGACTTTAGTCTTTGCAACTTTACTGATCTTCTTTATGCACCAAGAGAAAGGAAAAATTTAAATCGCATCATATGACCCCTTTAATGCTGAGCGGTATTTACCATTAATTTTTCCACAATTTTATAGATTAGGCTAATCCTTATTAAAGATAAAGAAGTTATTCAGTCAAGAGCAGATCTGAGCAGACTGATTTTTCTTTTGTTCTTCAATTAGCATTAATGACACAGACAGCAAGCTGCTGTCACTTTCAGACCAAATGCCTGGATCTGACACACACATCAGATTTTCTCCCAACAGTTTACATTCATTTATTTATTAAATTTTTTATATAAAGGATACTTGCTAAAATGGGCATTTTGACTCAATTTTGTGTATATTTGGCCGTTCAACTATGATGAGATGCAAAAGTGAGCTCAGTTCGGTAATGGCGCGTTGTCTGAGACGTGGCTCTCTCTCTCACTTTGGCTGTGTGTGCACAGAAAACAGCACTTGAGTGCCTAGTTTAGTTCTCTTTCACGAATTCTTGCACTTGAATGGTTTAAAATCGTTTGAATGCTTACATTGGCAAAACTTAAAAACATATGCATTTGATACACTTTCGTGATGAGTCAAAAAATAAAGCATTCCTCTGAAGGGGGAAATTTTCAAAAAGTTGGGGGGACATGTCCTCCAGGGAATTGCGTCACTTCGTATCATACTTTTAATGTATTTTTTAATGTATTTATTTATAATAATATATTTATTATTTATTATATTTTTGTATTATTATTAATATTCATAATATATTTATTATTGAATACTTTCAATTTTATAATATTAGTAAATAAATAAAAAATGTAACACTGAACTACAAAGAAAGGGGATTTATTAAATTAGTCATAATCCACAGGGTTGCCATCCCTTGTGAAAAATAAGTACACTTCAGCATACGTTTATACTTTTATACGTTTATACTTATTACAGAAATAATACTTTAAAAATAATATACTTAAGTACTTAAGTAAGTACAAATTGAATGTAATGTTTTCGGACACTTAATTGCATGTTATTTACAATAAAAAATTTATTATAGTTTACATTTATATTAAAAGCAGTTAGTTGAACATATGAGTGCTCTTCTGACCTATTTAAGTAGGACTTAAATAAATCTTTATATGTAATTTCATATTTACTTCTGCTGTCTTTGTTCAAATATTGTTCAAATGTACTGACAAGCATTCATGGTAAATTAAAAAAACACTTTAATGTACTTTTTTTTAACCCTGTATGTCATGCATTTAAATTTACTTGTAATTACACATTTGTAATGATGAAGTTGCAGTTTAGTAAAATATAGTAATGTGCTTTAGTATGTTAGTCAACAAATAAAAATAAATGTACTTCCTTAAAGCATGACAAAAGTCTTTAAAATAAAACTTAGCAAAAAATATTTTTTGCTAACACTTTGCAGTTTCGAATTATGTAAGTAACTTAAAATGTTATTGTGTGTTTGTAATTTTAATATATTTTATCTATAGGCCTATACAGCAAAACTACAGAGCTTCCAGTGGATTATTTTACGGAGCTGTTAACACGGGAATCTCCAACCGCATGCAATCTTTTGAAAAGTTTGAAATGTATGCTGGTTTCCACAAAAAAATATTGTGCAGCATGACTGCTTTCAACATTGATAATAATCAGAAATGTTTCTTGAGCAGCAAATCAGCATATTAGAATGATTTCTGAAGATCATGTGACACTGAAGCAATCTTTGACGAACACCCAATTCATATAGGCTATATGTTATTAAATTGTACATAGGCTCAGATTATTTTATTTACAAGGTTCATGTGTGTGTTTATCCCGGTTTTCCCCCTGTTGCATCTGAAAATTACTTTCAGAATTTTTTTTTTTTCAAAGCAAACAAAAAGTCGGCCCCCCCAATAAATTGTGCATGCCCCCTCACTTTGTGCGCTCTGGCGCCGACCCTGCCTGCAAGTACAGTTTTGTTTTGTTTTTTTATACAGTATAGATTTATGATTTTAAGGACTCTTTCCTTTGATTAGTGAATTTCGAATTTGTGATTTACAATTAAGATTGACACAATTCTTTCTATGGAACCTGCTTTGATAGTCCATTAGCAGAAACTCCAAGTTCAAAATCATGAATCATAAATCTATTCCTCAGCATTTCTCTGTATATTAACACAAATCAACCTTAAAGCTGGTAAAACACGAACAAACAGGAACATCTCTAATTGAACATTTTTCTCATTAGATTTCTTATCTTCCAGATGAGTGTTAGCAGGTGGTTACAATACATTATTCTACCACAAAGAGGCACTACAGACAACACACTCATATACTGTAAATGAACATTCATTATTCAGTGACAGTGAGGAAGTGCAGATAGAGATATAACTCCACTCAAGAGCAGGATTAGAGGAATCTAAATGAAAAAAAAAAACATCAGATGTTGAAGCAATGACTGCAGCATACTTTTAGACATTTCCACTCTGTGTGAGATTGCATGCTATCATTGCAATTTCAGTCCTTTCATGACATTTCGCTTACTCTATTTGCTGGGAGATAGAAATGCCTCCAGGGGTTATAGTTGATGAGGGAGTTAAGATCTTCAAATACTGCAAAATAAAGTTTCATATGAATGAGCAGCACTTCACAGAGCTGTGCTAACATTGAGGAAGCTAGCTGATTAATCAGGGTGCTGTTTAGCCGAAGACCTTTGAACTCTTTCTTCCCAGATTTCCTTAGTAAATCAGCTTCACCAAAAAAATATTCAATTTTGAAAAAAATTTTTTTTTACAAAGTGGTCAATTGTAGTGAATAACATGGCTGTGCTGCCCCACCAGCAAGCCAAGACGGAAATTAATGCTAATCTGGAATTTTCAGTACAGCTGAGAGGAAGGTCCTGGTAATCTCGAGTTTCAAAAAAGATCTCAATAATGTCTCAATAATGTCCCAAACTGTACTCAGATTTGTCAAGATACCAAAATATGCAAATCAATAAAATTAAGCAGTAGACTTAGTGCTTTCAAAACCAAATTACGCTCAAAAATATTTAGGCCTGAATTTAAGATTTATGCAATTGAATTGCATATAATGTGACAAGTAATGGCTTACTTGTAACTTTAGCATGTAAATTTAATGAACATTTAGCATGTGCTATTGATGTGTTAGCTATTGATTTTAAATGAAATACACAAGATGAATTGGTTCTAGGGCCACAACTCTAATAGTTGGAGCAAACTACAAGAGTAGTTTGTTGGTTGAATTTAATTTCATTAGAAGTTCAAAAATATTGATGCAAACAATTGTGTTGCATTCATTCATTCATTTATATATATTTATTTGAGCTAACATATTTTTAGAGTGCATTTGGATTACACCGTTTTAACATCAACAAATGAATAAACTTAATGTGATTTAAATTTGTCAGTCATACATAAATGAAACGTTTTTGTAATACTAATAAAATGAGTGTGTTTTAAAAACACAATAACCAGGTTTATGTATTTATCATCAATCAATCCAATTGGTTTCGATCACATACATTATAACAGAATGTTGAATAAATTGATTTTTTAAATATGAGTATTTGAATAAAATCAAATATATGCAAATAGTTGATAATAAACTATGCATGATTTTTTTTGTGTGTTTTCATTTATGTAAGACTGACAAATATACAGTAAATCACATTGAATTTATTCGTTTTTGTTCAAATGGTGTAATACTATCAACCAACAATTGCCAAATTTGTCTATTCATATACATCATATGAAGCTAGACAATGGGAAGGGGGAATTTAGAAGAAACATCTGAGACAGCTTGTCAGGACATTTCTTTCTCATCATCTTAATTCAGATTCCCACAAAGCCTAACCTTTACAGGTTTGCACATTAAACTACTACCAACCATGCATTAAACCACTAACCATTAATACAACTACAAACTGCATTTCATTGGCTCTGTACTTGTACTCTGCACAGTGACAATAAAGTTTAATCTAATCTAATCTAATCTAATCTAATGTATGTACAATACACATCTGGCTGGTTAAACACACTGGAACACAGACTTATAATGAAATCAGATTTGAAGTTCACACTTATTCCTGAATGTTAATTAGTGAGTGTATCCAGTTTAATGTCACTTACAACTCAGCCAGGCTGTCATCTCTAATAAGTCTCTAATAAGGTCAACAACAGGACAGGCTTCATTTTTTTCCGATGCAAACATGACAATGCTGTATGTGCTGAAGATTTGTACAAAGTAGTGCTTAGCTTGTCAGTACAAGGAGACTACTGGTACTTATGCCATAATTAACCTTCAAGGAGGAAGATGTCAGGAACTGATTAGTTAAATAACTGTGTAGCAGTCAGCATGGCCTATGTGTGCCCCATGCCATAATTCAGAATGAGAATCAGAGGCAGTATAAAACTTCAATTCAATTCAACAGTGTGACAATTTATTTGATTCAGATCTATTTTGACAGACATGTTGTGTCACCTGAATGGAATCAGTGGTGGACTGATATGGAATTTTGGACTGTTAAAACATGCTGGCGTTCTCTGCTCTGTCAAATTATAAGCTCAGGCACTGTCAATATAAAAGTCCCACTTTTGACGCTTATCTGCAAAACAGAAAAAAACTTGTAAGCCAATGTAATTATTTCCTCTAATTATTTCCTCTGGTATTACTACACAAAATAAAAGTTATGAAATGTTGTATATCATAGCATTTATTTGATGAAATATAATTCAAACATATAGCTATCTATAAAATAAAAGTTTCTCACTACCACATGCTTTAACTGCACAGTCTTACACTACATCACAGATCCTGTTTGTATTGATCCCCCATTCTTAGGCATCAATGATTCCCACAGGCCTTAAACAATAACACTAGATAATCAATTACCTGATTCAATTGCATTATGCCCCACACACATCTGTTTGAGTAAAAGAAAGTGGACCAAACCGACAGTTTTCCCTTAGATACACTCAAAACCAGTACATTTACTATATCAATTAAGGGGCCTGCATAATTTAAACGTTCATGTGTATCTCATCCAAAGGCTACTTTTATTACAAGAACAATCACCTTGGAGTAACCTGGGGTAAAGACCTTTGCTCAAGGGCACCATCATGGCAGCACAATCTCTGTAAGTTCATGAATCACCCCTTATTGGTTTTAAACTAGTGACGAAACAGTCTGTATGTCAGTGGTCAATGGTCTTGCATTGGTCTAACCGTTGGTAACAAACCGCAGTACTCAAAGGGGCTCAAACGCATGTGCCTTTAAACCAAATACATGTTGCAATGAAAATACATAAAATTATGCTTGAGTAGCGTTTAGATACTTGCATTCAGTATGTTTTGGGTTTATGGGTAGCCCTGCCTATAGCAAAATCCCATTGGTCCAAAATGTCTCTGGCAATTGAAATCATGCCCTTGCTGTTGTTTGCACCATGCTCTACTGTTTGAGCCCCAGGAAGGATATCACAAAATGATTTAACATTAAATATTAATAAAATGCACATCTTTCTCAATTATTGAATGTCCAAGGGAATGTTCTGTCAAAATCTACACCAAAATCAAAGTAGATATGTGTTGATACACCAAACACATGCAAAAAAAAATTATACAAATTCCCTTCATGAACAGACTGCAGCATAACAGATAAACCATTAAACCATTTGTTCATCTTTCCCATCATACAACTGCTGGTTTAAAGGTATTTGGGGTTCCATCATATCACCTTTTCAAGGATGGAAGTGGATATGTTTTAAAAAGCCATGACCCACCTGTAGGTAGTGTGAGGACCGGAATGATGGTTTAAGGTCCTGATGCATCATGGGCTTCTCTAGGTTAAGGGAGGACTTTCGATAGGCCTCTTTGGCCTGGCTGACGGTGAGTGTTGACCAGGAACTCCTCTTCATGAACTTTCCCTCCGGTGCCATGGACAGGCCCTCGCAGGCTGAACACTTGACATCATTGTTGCTTTTGGAGGTTTTGAGTGAGTGGTCTCCAAAGTGAGTGTGCATGGATTCTGGGAAACTGTGACCTACGTGCTCATAATGGTGGCGGCTCAAGGCACTGGCCGTGCGGTAGGTGCTATCGCTATCTAGGTTGTCATCCGAGCTCCACCAGCCCCCTGTCCCTGAACGGTGCCTGCGCTCCTTGCTTTTACTGCGCTTGCTGCCATGCTTGGATGAGTGATGATTACCATGGTGATGGTGATGGCTTCCCCCACCTCCACTGTCACCTTTGGTGCCATTCATCTTGGACGATCCCTCCAGTGAGTGGGACTTGGTGAAGAGCTTCTGGACAGAGTGCACCAGGTGTCGGATGCGACCAGGGCTCTCACTGCGCTGCTCCCCACCAGGGGCGGCAGATGTGCGTTGGTACTGGAGTGTGTGGAAGCCGTCGCGATGAAGCGGAAGATGTTTTTCGAACTGGTCCAGCAGGTTTGCGGGGATGCGGTTGCTCTTGCTGCTGCCGTGGTGAGAGATGGATGTTGCAGCAGCGGCAGATGTGGCTGAGGTGGAGATGGCTGCACAGTCTTCCCGGGAAGCTGGGTCATAGTACTGTGAATTGTAGTGCATTCTGGGAAAGGTGCTGCTGGAGATATGGTCGGCAGGGGCAGTGGAAGTTAGCGCCACGGGTGACATGATCATGCAGTCGGAGTGAATGGAGCTGCGGGGGGAAAGACGGTGATGAAAGTCCATGGCGCAGGTCTCCGTGGGGCTGAGCAGGTAGGAGTGGCGCAGATCGGACACATGCATGCCGTGCAGGTCATGGAGATGCTCACACTCCACCAGTCCACACGGGGGCAGTGTGGGAATCTGGTGCGGTGCACGACCACCTGATAAGCCCTTCATGTTCCTGGGTGGAGTGAGGCTACTATCCTCATTGAAATCTCGGGATGGTGACCAGGAGGAATACTGCTGGTCTGAAATAAAGAGAAGGACATTAAAGATGAGCAGGTTTACTAGATTAGTCTTAAGTTTATTTGTCTCGCACAACAATATCTTCACTCTTGTTTCGGAAGATTTCATTTTACACGAGGCTAAACTTTTGTGGTCAAAATAAAAATTCTGTCAACACTTACACTCAAGTCATTCAAAACCTGTATAACTTGCATTTTGATTTTGGGAAGAAAATAACTTTCACTTCGGCGAATGCAGACAATGTGATTTGAACCTTTCATGAACTCTAGTTGCTAGATTAATTCAAGCCTCTGTTACTAATTCAAAACCATCAAGTAACTAGCAATGGTTTAGGAAGATTCTAAAATGATAATAATGTAAGAAGGACATCGTTTTTCAATGAATCGATTGAATGTTTCACTCATAAAGACAGTGGCTAGATTTATATATACATAGTTCCCTACTAGTGGTTCAAAAACAGTATGTGAAAAGAGTAGTATGTCTGAAGTCACGGTATTCATAAAACAATCATCTGGATCAAAAACATCATCTGAATCTGTGAATAAAAGTAAAGTGATCTGTAAAGTAAATCTGGATTACATTCATACTGTACTACACTCATTGGGCCTCGTTCATGAAACACAAACAGAACAAATTGTTGTGTAAATCATTCGGAAAGTCATTCTGACTTAAATTTTTTGATTCATGAAAATGTTCGTATTTTGAAAATGTTAGTTGGCACGAAAGAAATTTACAACTGCTCCCTACCACGTGTAAATGGTGCATAAAACATTCAAACATTCTGTATTCTTTTAGACAAACTGATGACACTGCATTTTTATGCACTATGTATTATATAATGAGTTCATTTGCCCTGTCTTTTTTTCCCCGTTTTTTTACTCTATAACTTTTGGTAAAACGCAGAGCTCGTCACTGTCCCTTTTTACATAGCCGTCCAATCACAGTGGAGGAGGGGCAGGACAAACACTACATTGACCAACCATCATACTTGTACAACACAACTATGGAGAAGGTAACATTGCTGGTTACTGCATTTTTATATTCAGTAATATTCTTCAAAATAAGACACTCGTAACATGTTACTGCCGTGAATATTCCAAATCATAGCAAACAACGCGTCACTCCAGAAAAATGCAGTGCCTCCAAAGCTCTCTCTCAAGCACCACCAGCTGGTCGTTTTCAGAAGAGCACCAGGCATTATGTCAGCTGGCTAAAGACGCGCTGGTGGACACTAGTTAATTTATTCATTTATTGTTAGGCATAGCCTATTAATCTCTTATGCATTTATGCAATATAACTTGCCAAACCTGAGAATTGAGTCCAAAGGATTCCACACCATTCCTAGATACATCATTTGTGTAGCTGTAATTCAAAGGCGGGGAATATACTAATTGTGAATGAGTTTTCGGGAAGGTCCATTTTACGCATGAATTACTCAGAATTTACTCATATATTTACAAATTTTTCATGAATGAGGCCCATTCATAATATATAGAATGGGGAGTCCAAACCTGTTTTTGGAGGGCCACTGTCCTTTAGAGTTTAGCTGCAATCCTAATTAAACACACCTGGATCAGCTAATCAAGGTCTTCAGAATTACTACAGACTGCCAGGCAAGTCTGCTAGAGATGGTTGCAGTAAAACTTTGCATGATGTTGGCTGTCCAGGAGCAGGATTGGACACCCCTGATATGAACATTCTTTTTTACTTTCTCAAAAGAAGTACCGACTCCAATTTCGGACAGAGCCAGTCTCTTGTTTGGTTTCTGAATTACTTTTCAGATATATATATAATATATAATTTTTTTTTTTTTTTTTTTTTTTTTTTTTTACAAATTGGTTAAGTGAAGGGTTCAATGACTCACTCCTGAAGACAGTCACTTGTTTCATTTCTGAATGAATCAGCATTTTTAAAAAGAATCATTTGAATTAATGATTCAATGAGTTAGCCATAAAGACAGTCACCTGTTTTGTTTTTTAACAAAACTGATGAATGAATAGTTCAATGACTCATTTAGTTCCTGACTGGATTAGTGTTCTGAACGAATCACCACCACTGATGCACAGAATGACAGTCTGTCTGGAAAACAGTAGTGATAAAAACAGTGAAATGCATTTCACCTTTTTATATCAGCACTTCTTGGTGCACTGCTCAACCAATCAAAGGATCAGAGCCAACTGTTGTTTAATGTTATTTATTATTCTAAGACCATAACATGTAGTTTAATTATTTTTACATTTACAATGTCCTTACTGTCATCTCCACTTCAAGGTATTCTGACTTTGGCTGGTGAGAATGATCCAGTTAAACACTTGCTGGTAAATGCTTTAAATGTTATCATTTTCTGCATGCAGTATATATATATTGTAAAAAAAAAAAAAAAAAAAAACTGTATAATAACTGTCTTGACTGGCTTTTATGTCACAGTTCAGGATAGTCTCCAGTAAAGGGTCTGGGAATGTGCACCTTCTTTTGTTGCCATCACTCAATCAAAACGAAGACAGATTTTCCTGCAGATCTACAGTGATGAGCCACATGTATTCATAACTATGTGCCCATGAGGAAAGATGCCACATTACTCTCTCTCTGGGTATTATAGAGCTCCTCACGTTATACTACCATGGTTCACATCCAAAAGAAAAAAAAAGAAAAGAAATAAAGTATTTAGCTGTCTTTCAAATAGACTTGCTTGTTCTGACTAATGGGGTCCTGCAGGAAACCTCTCTCTCTCTTTGCTTATTTTATAAGTTTTGATTGTGAGTTAGAGTAATCTTGACAGAAAAGGAATCTTCTTTCAATTCTTTCAAAAGAATTATGATCACAAGAGGAAAAAAAGGGTTTTGCATATTTCTGACGTAACATTTAGAAAACCTGTATTAGATTCAACAAGCCTAAAACACTGAAAAGAGATGCCCTGAGATCCCAGGAGAGCACAAATCTGTAATTTAGTTTCAAGTATGGATGCTTTTATGCAACTTACAGCACACACATCGCAGAGAAAATTCACCTTGATTAACCAGAAAGTTAAGTTTTTTGCTCAAGGGCACGATGACGATAGCTCACATGGATTTGCATGGATCGTGGCTCAAACCTGCAGTCTTGGCTAACAGTCCAATTTTAACCAACCACTATATCATACCACACCTTCAGGTCTGTTTCAGCTACTTTTCAAAGAAAAATGCAGCACTGAGGTCTGTTTTGGGAGACTTCTAAAGCCATATGAAAGCTCTATGTGAGGTACAGCCACCAGGATGCACTGAAAAACAAACTAACCAACAAAAAAAGAAACTTTGGACCAACATAAAAATAAAACACTCTCATTTGTTACATACTCTTATTGTTAAATAATCTCATTTTGGTCACACTTTATTTTAAGGTCCAATTCTCTGTATTAACAAACCATTAACTATACGACTTTTGCCTCAATAAACTAATAATTTGCTGCTTATTAATAGTTAGTAAGGTAGTTGTTAAGATTAGGTATTGGGTAGGATTAGGGATGAAGAAAATTGTCATGCAGAATAAGACATTAATGTGTATTAATAAACAGCCAATATTATAATATATATAATACAATATATAATAGGCATGCTAATACGCAACTAGTTAATAGTGTGAATTGGTCCCTATACTAAAGACACATGTCATGAATATGAAGGAGGTTTTATGCATGTTTATGACAACTGTCATCAAGTGTCATTCGCTCAGTTATGTCATTTTTAATGCAAATATGACATTATTTGACCTAACCCTACCCCTACCCTTACCCCTAATCATAGCCCATAACAAAGACATCTCAAACAATGTCATCTTTGCATTAAAAATTACATAACTGAGGGAATGACACTTAATGACAGTTGTCATAAACATGCATAAAAAACCTTCATATTGTTATGATTATGTAGGTGTCATGTCATGATTATGAAGGTGTCATGACAGTCTTATGCACACCCCTTCAAGTAAAGTGTAACCAAAAAGTCTTTATAAGCCATGAACCAAACCAACCAGCTACAAGGAGAATCACAACTTTACAAACATTTATTTAAAGCAACAAAAAGTATTTGAACATCAAATACTTTTTAGACAAACATTTTTGCTTTTAGACAAACTGTCCAAAACCGTGGTTTTTGATTAGACCAATATTAAAATGCACTTTAAATAAATGTATTTTTTATTTTCTTATTTTTTCAGTGTGTAAGAGATATACAAACAGCCAGTCTAATGTAGCATCATCCAAACCATGTGTTCTCATCATATAGGATAACAGCTAATATCAGTAAATGACAAATTAAAGCAAAGATGCCAATGTGCCAGAGGAGACATCAGAGCAGGAAACACCTTTAGCGCTAAATCTCCTCTTACATAATGCCCAGGGCCCATAATCCATTGCAGTATATCAAAGAGAATGAGATATAACACAGAGTTGTCATGGTAACCATTGCTGAGAACTCTGACCATGAAAAGCTGATTTTAGAGTTTGTTACACAGGGATGACAATAATTCACAGCAGGACTGCTGTTCTCAGCCGTCACTGGATTGCAAACAAGAATTATTACAATTTATACATCTGTATACTTCAGACCTGATTTCTAGATGACTGTGTGATAAAGAGCTCATAAGCCTGATGACTTCAGGATAGAGTAAATGGATCTTGCTCTAAAATGATTATTGAGCCTCCAAGTCAAAGCAACCCAGCGAGGTTTGAATATGCAACATTCCCAACATTTCCTCTGCTGCTTCTCTATTTTTACAACACATTGCTACAGAAAATGACAAAGAACATGTGGTTGCCGTGGCAACAAAATGAGTCAAAGAAAGACAGCCATGTGGTCTCACGTTTAGCATCTTGCCTGACACACAATTACACACAATGACACATTCAGGGTCACTACCTGAGCAACCAGAGATATTTAGAATTGTGCGATCCAAGGAACAATGCATAAATAAATAAAAAAGATACATGGCACTGATGTCACAGAATGTGGAATCTAAGAAGAAATTT